ATGACCGCTATAAACAGACACCTCTGGATGCTGTGCACTGCAGTTACATGAGCCTACCTGTATATAATGAGGTGATGTCACCACGCAGATCATGTACATAATATTCACCAAAACTGGAGCAGCTGTTCATGGCAACCAATCAGCTTTTCTCTTTTATTTTGAAATCTAAACTCAAAAGAGGAGCTGATTGGTTGCAACTACTCCAGATTCTGTCTGCTGTAGTTACTATGAATTCTCCCCATTGTGCAATCAAGTATTCCCCAGTTATATAAGTGCAACTCCAACAAAAACGTTTTCTTTATGTTTTGGACAGGCTGCAGAAGAGTTAGAAAATGTCAAATTACCCGATTGTTGAGTCTTAACTGAAAACAGAGCTCTTTACAAAACAGGGGACTCTGTGGAAGGGGGGAAGGGGGTAATGTTACTCCAATCGAAACATCCACATGATATTGGGTCAATGAGAATGCCAAACAAAAGTCTAATAATTCATCTGCTGACAGCCCAAAAAAACTAAATACAGCCAGTGCGTTAGTAAAATAGCGGTATTGAAGAGGATAGCTATTAAACAGACCGTTCTGGAACATGGCAGTATTATAGAGAACAGCCAATAGTACATATGTCAGTGTTGCACGCTAACCTTCACACACCGCAAAAACCCCCTCAACATTGCAACCCTCCCCCCTCCGCAGTGTGAAAAAAAGACTTACAAAATTTGTTTTATGCTTTACCTATTTTGTTTATTTACTTTTTATTGTAAAATTCCCAGTTCACTCTGCCCCCGTCTGCCCAACGTGAGAATGATGTGTGCCCCGCTTCTGCAGCCTCCTGGGATATCCATGTTACATTTCCCATCCACAATAGAGATGGGTAGCTCATGAGCGATCCGGATCTATTGAGCGGCTCCCTCAGAAGAATGAAAGAGCGGTGGCTCAGTAAAAATGAGCGGCGGTTCTTCTGGTCTGTGCTCTCTGTGGATGGAATGTAGAAGCAGAGAGTGAGACAAGAGCGGCTCCTGTAAGCAGCTCTTGTAATATGATCTTAGCGTGAGAGCCAGGCTTCTGCCAGCCCCTCCCAGCAATGCAGAATAGCACCAACTATGTAAGACTACAAGTCCCAGCAATGCATTATAGTTGGGGGGGGGGGGGGGGGGGTATTCTGCATAACAGACAAGCAATGGTTTTACTTTTAAAATAACTCTCGTTCCCTCCCTCAAACTACACCCCCGTCTCATTTCCTCTCCTACTATAGGAAAAAGTAGGACTTTTGTGTTTTGAGCATGTTGGAAAACCAGCCGAGAATCGGATGATTTTCGGCTGGTTTTTAGCATGATCGAGAGATAACTGCCGAACGGGCCGGTGTGCGCACGCGCACACTGCCCGTTCAGCATTGCAGTCATCGGAAGCCCGCCCCTCAGGGGGGCGTGCTTGCGATGATCGCAAGTAGGATCTGTCTGTCCAAAATAAGCAGATTGTATGTTTTTTTAATTACTTTACAACCCTCGCAAGACAAAAGTCTTGCAAGGGTTGTAAAGTGTATGGCCACCTTAAGACTGAGCTCCCTGCTGTCCTAAAACCCCATCACAAAACTAGGGGTACAGGAGATACTGTCCTTCATGTAATACTGGTACTTCTGAATATGGCAGAAATGTTTACTCCACCTACGACGATGCAGTACTCACTATCCCAATCGGCCCATTGTCAGGCAATAAGCACATTGTGGCGCCTTGCTTGACATGTCGACATTCGTTGCATTATATTCATTCCTACATGTGCCCATCTCTCTTCTATGGGTACTTAAAGTGACCTTGTCATTCACATAAATAATTGCAAATGGAAATTACCTGTAATATAGGAGATCTCCGGCATCCTGTGTCTGCGACCTTCACTTCATTAAAGCCTTTGCCGCCTCTGTCACAACTCACAACCAAAGCACTTCCAGGAGTTTCAGATGCCGGCGTCCCCTGCATGTAATGGTTCTGGAACTTCTGGCTGAAGGAAGAAACCACAGCACACGACGGGGGTTACAGACATCCAACACTGGAAGGCCTGATGTTCCTGAAGTGCTGAAGGTTGCAGCGCTGGAACAGAGGAAAAGTAGAAGGCACGGGCTGCTGGAGAGGTGAGTACAATACCTCTTCTATTGTAAGGAAGCTCCATTTGGATTTGGCATGGGACTAGCAGTGTTATGTAAAGTCAAAATGTTCTTATTTAGTTTTAGAGTAGGGAAGGGTTGAAAAAAAAAAACACTATCAGGTTACATGGAACTATGTACTGCACTGAAAATGTTTCTCGATCCAACAAAATTCTAACAGTGAATGTGGTTTTTGTTTGGAAAACTTCATTAATTCCAAAATCAAATGTTAAATAAAAACGAGAATCGAGACAAATTTTGAACAACAATCACCAAGTCTCTGATGGTGTTATCAATCATTCCGACTATATTATTGGTACGAACGTTCGTGCTAAAATCTACCCATGTACCATACTTTACCTTGATCCGATTGGTTGTTGGCATCCGATGCTTGTTTACATGCAGTGCGGCAAGTCTCGCTGTCCTGGCTGCGCCTGCAGATTACAACCTCACAGACTTCTATGTGGCTGCGTCCAAAGGCCAGAGATAAAGGAAGATGGTGGGAGAGAGCCCCATAGAAGTCTATAGAGCTGTAATGCACAGGCACGGCAGGATTTATATAAACACCGAGGCCGCAGCTCTCGCATCAGGGTAAGTATCCATTCGAGGAGGGGCAGTGAGGCCCCGTTCACACCAGGACAATTCGGTCGTGTGGATTTTTCCGCACTGAACCGCTGACATGAACGATCCCATACATTCCTATGGGGGCCTTCATGCGATTGCGTGGCTCCGCACTATACGAACTGCCTGCCGCAAAATGCTCCCTCAGCCTTTTTTTTCCACGCTGATCAGCACTGATTTCATATAGATTTGAATGGAAACACACTGGTCAGCGCGTTTTTGGGAGTTTTTAATTGCATTTCAGCGCTGAAACGCAATCAAAATGCCCCAAACCGCCCTTTTAATATATGCACGGAATCCGCCCTGGTGTGACCCATTCGCACCAGGCCTTAGGTTAGGTCAGGATCATGCAATAAGTACACTATGTTTTAAAGTGTATGTGACCTTGAACCAAATGACGTTGAACCAAAAAGACCAGGCGAAAATGGAAGTGACGCTAAGGGACTTTAGATCCGCTTTAACTTCTCTATGTAAATGGTAAAAAATTTTTTGCTTTTACATCCCCCCGCACGCACGCCCGCCCGCACGCCTGGCTCCCTGGACGGCAGAGCGGACAGCTGCAGCCAGGTAAGACATCCCCCGAAAAAATAAGACCTAGTGTCTTTTTTCGTAGAAAAAAAAATACAAGACACTGTCTTATTTTCGGGGAAACACGGTAGAGGCAGAGCCAGCTGTACCCGCCCCCTCTCCCGTCCAATCCGCCAGTCAGCGCTGGCAGGTCAGAGTGGGGGGAATCCAGCCACTCCCCTGTCACGGAAGAGAGCCGTGACAGGATCAAGAGGTGAGCGAACGCCGGTATGTGTTAGCTCACCTCCCGATCTACTGAGCCGACCTGTGACAGTCTCATTGTCACATGTCGGCTAGAACTATGAGGTGAGTGAGAAGCACTCACCTCATAGTTCTCCTTTAAAGGAGAAGTATTGGGAGAGCAAAATGTACTCTTCTCAATACTTTGAGCCGGCATGTGGCACTTCCGCAGTCATATGCCATGCTCTGTGGCTTGAGAACTGAGTAATCAAATACCGCTGATCACTCAGTTTCGGATCTTCTCCCTGCAGAGAGCTGTGACCATCATTCACCAATCCCAACAGGGATTCCTCCTCCCCTCCAGCGCTCGTTGGAGGCACAGACAGGCAAGTAAGGGGGCGGGCACAGCTGGCACTGGTTCTAGAGCGGCAGAGCCAGCTGTCAATCAGGCACCAGGTTGGATCCTAACAATGTCGGGATTCTTCACGACTGCAGCGTGGCTCTGCACTGTCAGCATATAGCAGAAAGTAGCCTGCTATATGCTGACTTTGGGTCACAGGAGGACATAGTAAATGTACTCCTGTGATTAAAAAGAGAACTAAAGCCAAAAAAGGGTTTGGCTATAGTCCTCTTTTTAATGAATGTCCATGCACCAAAACAATACACATGGCTGGATTTCTTCCTTGTGCGCCACAACACAGCTCATGTGCTTACTTATACAGGATTTATATAGCGCCAGCAGTTTGCGCAGCGCTTTACAATATAAGGGAGACATTACAATCACAATACAATTCAAAACAAGATGGTAAGGAGGGCCTCACGGCTTACAATCTAAAAGCGTGTTATGGTGCATTGTGCCATTTAGATGCACATTTATGACCCATGCATTTATTTTTGTTTACAGAAAGCAGTCATATTGTAACGTGTGTGGTGAGCTTTATGTTTTCTTTATACTGCCTGTGCAGAAATCAGAGGCTGCAACTACATTGCCATCACAATGGTACAATTAGTATTACGGCAGCCCGAAAAATAGGAAGGTTTATAGAGAGGAAAAGGGGGCAGCGATTCTGAAATATGGATCCGCGCTTCTCCATCAACACCGGTGACGTCACGGCAGAGATTCTACGTATTCTATGCATGGTCAATGACAGCCGCCCTCAGACTCCGAATAGCTGTCCTAATACATGCCTGATAAAAAAAAAGTCAATAACTCTGAATGATTGTCCTAATACATGCCTGATAAAAACTTACGGCACCCCTGTCGCTCCCTGTGTAAATGTGGACTCCAATGTGTGTAAAATAACAATTTACAGTTTATTATAATCCACGAGGGACAACATATAGACGAAAGCCAGGCTGCCCTCAGTAAAGTCTGAATAGCTGTCTTAATACATGCCTGAAGAAAAAAAAAGCCTGGTCCGGTAAAGACAAATCTTTATTTCTATAATGTCACCTTACTGTAAATAAAATCGTACACGATCAGGCACTACAGAGGGCAGCCGCAGAGAGCTCATGCGTGAGAGGCGGGGCCTGAGCTCTCTCTTTCCGCCGGACCCGCCATCTTGCAGGTAGCCGCATGAGAGTTGAGCTCCCGGTGTTTGAGGGGATTCGGTTGCGTTGTTTGGCGGGAGCTTCGTGAGAGGGGCCGCGGTATGATGGGGAAGAGCACTGCGGACGGCCAGGGAGCAGTGTGAATGTCACGGTGGCCGGGGAGGAGTTTTAATGGCCGCTTCTATAGTGTGGCCTGGTGTGAGCAGGCCTGGTAGTGGCTGTAGCCTAGCTTGTGATATCCATAACCGCACATTGGCCGGGGGATGATGTACACATGTTGATGTGAGAATCAGTATGTGTTCATGTTTGGTTCCTGGGCTGTGATTGAGGTGGGAGAAAGCGACGTGTATGTGTTCTCTATCCGATCTCATGTGGTCACTTGTAGGGTGATCACTTCTTATTATGGGCTCAGTACAGACCCTGCTAATGTCCGTAGGTTTCCTCTTCGGCCCTCACCGTAGCCACATGGGGGCGAGCTAAAGGACAGCCACATGTGCTTACATAATGTGAAGAGAAATCCAATATTTTTGAGGTGACAGAGTAAGAGGTGAGGAAAAATCCTCCAATGGGGACATAAATTCCTATTGGGGGTGTTCTGTCGAGATCTCCTGCACGGCCACCTAAGAACAGTATCGCATTCTCTAATTTGCGATAGTGCGTCTGCGCGGGTATCCGATGGCACAAGCAGCTATGCCAGTTGGAGAACTTGAGGATTGCGAAGGCGCAATTGGGCAAGTCAACAAGGCTTGGGAAAATGCCATGGCTGGCGCACTAGCGCCATCTCGTCGAAATCTGCAACGGATGTGACCTTATGAGTTGAAGATCCCAACAGAACAGGGGGCACACGCTTCTGTGACAATTCTTAGATGGGAATTTACTTTATAGAGATTTCTCTTGTTTTCCTGTTCCATATTGAGCAGTGTAAGTGAAGGGAAATCTCCCCAGTGAGATACAAGCAGCAGAAGTGATAAGGTTTTAACACTTTCCTGCTCCATTCAAAATGTTTTGGATATATATATATATATATCTATATATATATATTTTTTTTTGCATATATCACTTTGCATATATCTACTGCTCGCTAGCAGTAGATATATGCAAAAACCGCCTGAGGGTTTAATAACCCTTTTAACTCAATCTTTGTAACTTATTCCAAATGCTGATGAAATAATTTCCAATGGATGCTGCTCCTTCATGTTGAAAAGTTGTAGCTTTCTTTAGAATCCGCTGGAGCACTGGCCCTGATATCCTGTTCACCCCAGCAGCTTTGGTCACCCTCATGACTGCTGGTGTGCTTGTCCTCAAACATTGCCAATACGCTCGATGGAGCCATATCACTTTGTTTTTGTTTGTGGAATTTTATTCAAATGTCAAGTGACATTTCATTCAGTTTTATGGGCTTACCGAGGTGCAATGTGGTTGTACCGCATCTCAATGCAGTGCACTCCCCTCCCCAAGATAGCTGCACAGCTACTGGAGATTCTGCTGTCCCTTGCACTGGGCAGGACGTTGAGTGAGTTGGAGCCAACTTTTTGGAAACGTGACTAAGTGCTTGGGCAGAAATTTGAAGAAATACTTTCAGGACAATATATACTTGTTCTGGAGTCATTAATGAGAGTTTAATATTAAAGCGGACAAAGATTTGGGGTGATTATTGCAGAATGAGCATACAGTGTGGCCTGGTGGTAAGAAAAGTCAATAGAATTCTGGGGTGCATCCCTAGAGGCTTCACCAGCAGCAGGAAGGAGGTCCTGAGTCCCCTCTAAAGACTTAGTTGGACTTTTTTTTTTTAATGCTGTGTCCAGTTATTGATGAGAGAGAGAGAGAGCGCGCAAGTTCAGAGATGGGCAACAAAAAAGAAAGGTCTGAGGGATAAAACGTAGGAAAGACTGAAGGGGCTCGATATGTACCGTCTTCAGGACTTGACTAACCTTGGAAAGCGTTTTTACTGAGTAGTAGGTACTTGAAAGACTTTAAGCAGAGGCAGGGAGTCAGTCAACGTGAAGTGAATGTAAGCATGTTTGAGACCAACCTAGAGCTATACCCAACCCCAAAAAAGTAATTGCTTTGCACCTCTTGGTCTTTCTGCTGTCACTCTTCTGTTTCTGTGTACAAATTATTTTAATCATATGTTAGACAGAGCAAGTAAGAGAAGTTAATTGTTAGTGTTTACATACACTTTAATCATAGTGTTCCCCAATATCCTAGCAAACATACTGGACCTTCTTTTAATGTAGACATGGTGGCATTTTTTGTGCTGGTTACTGGGAGATCACTATCAGAGGGAGAATCTTCCCAATTGGGTCACAGACAAAAATAAAAGCCGCCTAGAGATTTAACTTCTCCCACTCAATCCAAACGTAACCATGGAGCGGTAAGTGGCCCGATTAGATGTCTCCAGAAACGGCCTATACTGACCTTTAGCATGCTGGCCTGCGCATTGATAACCTGTTTCAGGCCATATATGCTCCCCTCATCTGAACTTGACAGCTTTTGATTTTGGTTATAGGCATTGCAGAGGAGTGTCATGTCCCCTGTAGGCAGTGTACTGGGATTTTGAGAAGCCCCTGATGTTGGATTAGGGAAGTGTGAGGAAGTGAATATGATATTCTTGTGGTTGCTGTTCTTGCAGATTTGCTTTAAAAATCCTTTCAATGATTGCTGCTTTCTTTACTGTATTTTGTTTCTTTCCCACAGTAGGGGGCAACTGTTAAAACTGAAAAATGACGAACACAAGGGGCAAAAGGCGTGGAACCCGTTACATGTTCTCTAGACCCTTCCGCAAGCATGGTATGTAGAGCTGCTTCTTAAAGCTAAATGTTTTAGGCCCCGGTCACACCTATATAAGAAGCATATGCACCTATTCAGTGGCACCCCAAGAGTAAACAAACCTGCACCTCGGCACACCTCCATACGTGTGTAATAAGGAACATTTGTATTACCTTACAGCACACTGGAAAAAGGAGGATACCGTTATTTGTTTCACCCATAGACATGTTTCAGGCCCATTAAACAATTGGGCAACAGACTGAGCCATAGTGTGTACAAGCGCATATATAGATGTAATTGGCCCACTTTTTTTGTATTGAGACTGTTGACTTGTTTACATTTCTAGAATATTGTGGGTTTTCTACAACTCGCTGTTTGGACTTTACGGTTGTTAAGAAAGACTGTCTCAATATATGCCATAATGCATGTTTTTAACGCACATTACCGCACATGTTTTGGAGCATTTTTGATGTGCAATTCTACTGTGCGGCTTAATGACTTTTCACTCTGAGCTGCAACAAATAGAAGTGAGATCGCTATGTAGTGACAGTTGTGATTTTATCTTAAAATAGTGCTGTATGAAAATGGAAAGAGCCCCTATTTGTTTCCAGTGCAGAAAAGGAAAATCTAGTTGCTGCGGGTAAAGAGCAGCCTCACATTTGTCAGATTTCTACATATACTTCATGGCTTATCTTTGTACCTGTATAGTGAAACAAGTGCTGCCAGTAATACACAACTTTGTAATTAATCAATCCTAGCCATTTATATTAAAATTACACTTCTAACAATAAATAGTGTTAGAAAATGAATGACAGGGTGATGGGCTGAATTTATTTTCATTTTGCTATTGTGTGTGTGCCAAGATAAGGCCTGTATTTTGGCAGACTGCACATGGACTTTTTTCAGATTGTCCTTCCATCCATGTAACAGCATGAATAAATCTCCAGCTGTGCGTGTCTGCTGCTGTCAGAATACCCGAACAGTGCTTGCAGTTGATTTGGCTGCAAGCACTGTTAGGGTGACAATTTTCCAGCATGTCCCTTCAACACAATTTGATTTGTATATAGCCATCTTTTGATGTTTATTTAAAGAAGTGGGCATTCCAAAGATTCATTATTGTAGCCTGATAAACCTTCTGACACAATTCTTAGCATCTTGCTAGGTATGGTTTTCTGTGCACGTGTTAGACTGGCAGGTGGTAGTATTGAGAGTGAGCATAGTTCTCTAGTGTTAATTCCATCATTTTTCTTCTAGGTCCAGTGCCACTGTCAACCTATATGCGCATCTACAAGAAGGGTGATATTGTGGACATCAAGGTACGACTTGACTTTTTTGTTTCATCTGAATATATATGGAATCATACAGACAGGACCAAGACTCGAGGCCTTCCCCAAACTGCTTAACTTTACTAGTCCTTTTGACTTCGTAAGCTCACCCAGATCAATACTGTATTAGAATTTTGACAAACACCCTTAAAGTGACACCAAACACAGGAGATAAATGTTAAAATGCATTCAAGTACCTGAACTATTACCATAAATGTATCTTGTGTGTATCACTTGGCTGTAGATCCTCAAATCATCTCTGAATTGGTGCTGACACTGTCCTTCCTTCAGGGGGGTGACTACTTTTGTTCTCCATGGTCCCTGTGTGTGTTGTAAAGTAGTCACCGCTCCAAGCTCACTACTGTGATGGACTACACTCTCATGTTTACTAATTTGTGTCGAGAAAGTAGTCCTTCGCGGGGGTGAGCTTGGCGAGGTGGCTCAGAGGATGTACAGCCGAGTGATACACAAATAAGATACATTTTTGTTAAGGTACTTTTTAGGATTTAACTCTAGTTTACTGTCTCATTAATCTGGAACAATATGAATGACTAGTTTCTGGAGATCACAGGAACTTGATTTTATTTTTATATTGCATGGAACAGTTTCACCATGCAATGTGTTAACTGCCAAAGATGATGCCTCAAATTGGTGCTTATTTTTGCTCTAGATGGACAGTAAACCTTTTTCTGTTTAATATAATCGCCAATGTGTACTTTTCTCAAGTTGGATGATTTGGTTAGTATGGATTAGCTGAAGGAACTTTTCTCAAGATGGGTAAACTTCTTTTATGTATCTTAGTTATTGCATGTCCGTTTTCACTATTTTACACCATATTCTGACAACACTTCTATACTGGCTACTGCATAGTACATTGAAGATATTTCAGTTGTGCTTTTATTTAGGATGATCAACTTCTTGAGTCATTGAGTAAATTCAGGACCCAATGTTTGTGCTTTCTCCCTGATGGTAAGATTTCCTCACTGACTTCTGGGACTAAAGTTGATTATCCTCAAAAGAAGGTGGCGTCATTTTTAAGTGGCAGCAGTGGCGGGCTTGCATTGCTCTGTGATGATCCTTCTCCTGACTATTTACTTTCTTGGTAAATGTGAGATAAATATTTCACCGGTTCTGAGAGCAATTGTTTCATTCAAATTTGTAATTGTCTTTTTTCCGCTTTGAATAATTTTGTCATGTTATAAATGTGAGACTTGGTTCACATTTATAACACTGAAAGTTTCTGAAGCGCTTTTAATTTAAAAAAAAAAAAAATGAACTAGGAAAACTGAAATCCTGCTGCAACAGGCAATGCTGACTTTTTTTTTAAACTTTTCTAGAAATCTGTCTTGTGATGGGAATACTGAAGTAGGCTGATCCAGTTTTATTTTTTTGCAGGGTACAGGCACAGTGCAAAAAGGTATGCCCCACAAGTGCTACCATGGCAAGACTGGCAGGATCTACAATCTCACACAGCATGCTGTTGGTATAATTGTGAACAAACAAGTCAAGTGAGTAAGATTTGGTACTCTTGTCCCTGCAGAGCCCCTTCACTTTACCATTTAGACATGTGTTTTGTCTATTTTGGTCATTCAAAAGGGCTATATGAAACAACCTCTTAAAACCCAAGTCAATTATTCATGTTTGGCTTGTGTCCTGTCAGAGGAGACAAGAGCTGCATTTAGAATGCAACAATACCCATGATTTGATGTCTGCTGACTGCAGTTATCTAGATTGTCGGCGATTCCTTTAGTAAAGAAAATCATTCTGCTTATAACCCGACAATTTTTTCCGAATTCATCATTAAATAAGTTTATTTTGTCTTGGTTTTTTTTTTTTCTTAAATATATTGTGTATACCTTTATGGAACCTAGTTTGTTAAAGCACTCTGGGCATGTAAAAATAACACTTGCAGTGGGGCTACCCCTGGACTGCAAGGGTTAAGAGCTCATTTTAATATAAGGTATAAAATCACGTATACTCGCCTGATCCTCGTTCCCACAGCAGTGACCGCTCAGCCCTCTCCCCCTCGGCTCCCTTGGTGTACTCGCTTCCAATGAGTCAATGGACGTGATGATGTCATGGTCCTTTAGTCTGCCAGAGCCTGGGGGGAGAAGAGACTGCTGGGACCAAGCATGGGGTTAGTAGCTTTTTTTTTCTTCATTATTTTAGACCCTGGACCAAAATGAACACTTAACCCATGCAGTGCAGAGGTAGCTCCATGTCAAGGGTTCATTTTACGTTATATTTTTTCCTTTTTTTTAAATGCTAGGAACAGATTAACGAGTCAGTGACTCGGTATTGAAGTCACTGGATGAGCAGGACAACCAGGCAACTAGCACGTTCAGAAAGTTAGGAATGTCTGCCTGCATATGCCTCTGCACAGGTTTAGCTGCAATGTATAGCTTGGCAAGTAGTGGAGCAGAGGATTGCTTGCAATTGTACCCTGACTGAAGCAACCTCTGCCTGAAAAATGATGTGGCGGCATTATGGGACATGCCTGGGAAAGGGGCGCCAAGACCTTTAAACAGATTGCAATTAGAACTGTATGTTTAATGTACTCTTGGGATCCTTGTGAGCACAAAACGTCAAGGGTAGGAAGCAGTCTCTTGTTTAAACGAGTTGAGAAAATAATATTATTTTTTTTAAGAGAACCAGTCACAATTGGATATAAATAAGTCTGCATATTTTTACATTTATTTTGACATACAACATGACAGATTTTAGGAGAGTTCTCACCTATACCTTCAATGCCATTCATAGAATGACACATAATAGGCTCAATTCGCAAAGCGTTGGCAAAAAGGATAATGCTCATTTAGTCATGTGACTAATTTTCCATTCAACTCATTGGACTGGGCTGAAAATGAATATTTTTTTGGAAGTTTGGTATACTTATCCCAGTGTATTAGCTTTGCGAGTTGAGCATTTCGATTTTTCAGAGATGGTTCTTAGCAACACTTGAGTATCTTGTGGTAATCACATTTGCCCAGACTATGTTAAAATGTATTTTTAATGTTGGCAGAACCCTAAATTTAAGTTTTGCCAAGTTAACTTGTAAATGTGCAGAGCGGTGTAGTTTTGTGCAGATTGCCCACAGGGCTGCCTAATGCCTATAGATAATCCCTGTTTTGTGGAGCATTGCTTAAAGGCATAACCTATAGATGTTTCTAATTATTTTATCATGAATCTTTAAGACGTGGCACATTTTCTTTACCTGCTTGGCCACTGGTTAAGATTGTTTGTGATTGGTCTGGTTTGACTGAACCTGATCAAATGTAGGGATTATGCCCTTCTGGGTGTCCTAATATCTGGATTTGTTATTTTGTGGCCTAATCGTTTCAGTAAACCTACCAACTGTAACATAAATGTCTTTGTTTATTCAGAGGTAAGATTCTTGCCAAAAGAATCAATGTCCGTGTAGAGCATATCCGCCACTCTAAGAGCAGAGACAGTTTCCTGCAGCGTGTGAAGGAAAACGAGAAGAAGAAAATTGAAGCCAAGGAGAAGGGCACCTGGGTGGAGCTGAAACGTCAGGTGAGGAAGCTGTTCATCATTTTGTACTTTGTTGTGTAGAATGCTCAGTGATGATCTTTCTCCATACTATTTACTTTACAGTAAATATGAGTCTGTCATTTCACCGGTTCTGAGAGCACTTGTATATTCATTTCTTGCTATCTGCACTATAATACAAAATAGTAACATCTTGTGTTTTTTATTTACAGCCAGCCCAGCCAAGAGAAGCTCACTTTGTCCGAACATTTGGAAAAGAACCTGAGCTCCTCGAGCCAATTCCTTACGAGTTCATGGCATAAATTTCTGCTATTAAAAACCATTTTCTCAAGCAGGTGCTTGTGTTTTTATTGCTATTAACTAGACCTATAATTGTGCTGGTACATTGCAGAGATCTGTAGAGTCTCTTGACTGTCGGTGAGTCAAGTGGCTGCTCCTCTGAGCTGTGTGAGATTCAATTTGTGTTGCTAATCAGATCTCTGTACTTTTTTTTTATTACTGAACGCTGAAGTTTAGCACGTGCGGCGGCTTGTCATTGCTCTTATCTTCCTATTTTTAGAGGCTTGGTGCTAGTACAATGTGTCCCTAGCAACTCATTTTAGGAAATTAATTTTTTTTCTACCATTTTTGCAAATCAAACTGTAGTATTGGCACTAAAGCAGAAGTGTATCTTAAATGTTCCTGTTTGGAAGGAGGCTCCTTTTTTAGTAGTCACTAGAAAATGTAACCATAGTCTAGATTTCTTCTAACCTCCTGTTGTAATATTTTGAATTTCCATTACTTTCTCTGACACAGAGAGTAGAAATATGACATTGCCCCAATAGGGACACATGCAGCTATAAAACCCTGAGCATCTACACATGAATCCCTCTATCCTAGACCAAAAATAAGGTATTTGTCAGTAGGGAATAAGTCTCTGCCTATTAGGTTGGCTACATGCCTGTGTGTTGTGATAATGCATATTCCAGTTCCATATATTTTAATGGCACCTCCCTAATTCCCTTGCAGCACCCTGCAACACACTATCATGCGTTGTGGTGTGTCATGTAACAAAAAATGACTGCAGTACCCTGCCATGATATTTTTAATTTGCAAAAGGTGGAATGGAGTCACAGCTAATGTCTGAGGGTTCTCATTCATCCAGGTCGTGGTATATCTAAAAATAATCAAACCAACTGGACTAGCTTTATTTTTCTTGACAAATGCAGAGTCCTGTTGTATTGACTTATGTTTTACAGATATGTTGCTTTTCCCACACTATCCTTTGATATTACTGCAGTTCTCAACCATACCAGGTTTTCTGTTTTATAGAATGCCCTGCGTCATTGTACCAGTAGCGTGCTCTCCTGTTTATTGGGAACTATAAAACAAACCTATGAGGATGTATGGAGGCTGCCATTGCTGTTCTCCATTTCTCAAAATGCTGGTGACCATGCTGAGTCACTGATCTTGAAGAATTGGGACAGGTAAGAGCCCCTGCTCAACATGCTTCATATGCCAGTCGGTGACCCCAAGTATTTAAGTATTTAAATACTTGTCCCCTTTCTGGGGAAACCCCCCTAGTAATTCCTTCATGCACTAGATGTCCTCCGTCTCCTTGGCTGAATGATTCTGAAGCCATTCATTCTAATCCAGTCTGCTACAGTGAGTTTATGCATGCACACTGCAACATATGTGTACTTACATTATTGTAGCCAATTTAATTGAATGCTGCCTGATGAACCAACAGACCAAAAATCAGACATGCAACATATTCAGTAGCCCAATGCATGGCAGTGTTGCAGTGCACTCTGAAATAGGTGTGTTGTGACGCCGTTCACAGTTGCACCAACATGCTTTACTGTATATGCAGAAGTGAACACTTTACCAGTAATTGGGGCCCCCTACCAGTATAATTCAAACTGGAAGACTTGAGGATATCAGTGGGTACTAGGTATTAATGACCTGCTCTCTGCAAAGGTGTCATCACAGAATTCTGCATGATTGAGGGTCACCCACCCACTGCCAAAGAGAGCCCTGCACCTTTTATGTGACTACCTTTAAAGACATCTGAAAAAGAGAAGCATCTAAAAAGTAAAAAAAAATACCACTGGGGGGGCAAGTGTGGCACCAAGTTATCATTTTGGAATTAGTCTTGTGTGCAATGTTAAAACTTCTCTCTGGCCAATATTTTTTAGGTTTTAAAGTAGAGGGAGAGCTAAAACCTGTTGGGTCTGTTCTCCCATTATGGGGAGGATTTTCCCACACTTCAGTATGTGACTTCTGTGCAAAGAATCAGTGGTGTGGTTGTCACCAGGACAGATGGCAATAATAACATGGCCTGAAAGGAGTTGAGGTGAAGTTTCCTCAATAGGATGGCAGATGGGAATAAAAATGTGACTCGAACCCTTAGGCCCCTTTCACATGGGCAGCCTGCTCAGGTCCGCCTGTCAGTTTTTTTTCAAGTGGACCTGATCGGATGGCCAATGCTAGTCTATGGGCAGCCAGCTGTAAATAGGCAGGCGTCCGTTTACACGTGGTAACCCTCGCTTCCGGCCAGGTCTGGAGAAACAAATCGGGTCATCTGACATAAACAGACACGGGTGTTTACATCCGACTCCCCATAGGCTGACATTGGGTCCGGCAGTTTTTTTTTCTTTTCCCCCATCCCAAGATGGGGGAAAGAACAGGATAGATGCGTATGTCGCAGTTCCCTCCTGATCAGCCCGTGTGTAACAGGCGTCATGGAGTCCGGCTTTATAGCTCCATTCAACTTTTGTTTTAATGCCCTTCCCAAACCTATGCATTGTAATGTTATTTGGCATTATATTGTTTTCAATAGGTCTGGTTCACGTGTTGTCATGAAAAGATTTTCAGATATGTTTTTATTGCACAGAGGCCCATAGAACTCAAGAGCCGTGTATGAGAACACATGATGCTTATGGTTTTATGTGTTGCAAAAGCATATTTACTGCAACTTGTTTCAGTCTCTTCCCACCTCCCTACATGCTGAGTACATCATTCAAGAAAACACATAAAAAGGAATGCATAGGTGTAACGCCAGGATTAAAGAACAAGTGCAGCGTGAGAGAAACATGCACTCCCTGCAGCTTAGAGCCGACACTGCAGCTGACGCACGCTGTTTCCAAGACTTGAAGCTGATTGGTTGTGTAAGCGCTGACTATAAGTTACTGCCCCCTCTCTGGGGAATCATTTAATTAAACCAGATTCACCTGCAGTGAATTCTTGGGAAAACGTGGGAAAAATTCAGCAACAAAAATGGATTTGGTCAGCAAACATCTTTTTCCCCCCTTGACATTCTTTATAGTTCTTTCTGTGGTTTCTTACTCGCTCTGTTGCCACCAAGTGGTACAAATGTGCAAGGCATCAAATGAAGACTTCTACAAGTGAAGAATTGCTTACTGTGGCCAAAAGCAAAAAACAAACTAGTAGCTTCAGTATACAACAAAATCTGTTGGTTCATACCTTGTGTGTGCCTGCTTGGAGCCCACTTGACGTGTTTATGAAGATACAGACTTCCTTGGTATTCCAGCTGTTGTGGAACTACAAATCCCATGAGGCATTGCAAGACTTGAGCCACAGGCATGATGGGATTTGTAGTTGTACCACAGCTGGTGGGCTGAAGTTGCCTACCCCTGGCTAGAGAAAAGGGAGCCAAGCTGGCACATCCGATACATCTGCTCTTCCTGTGCCAGTCATTTGCCACTTCTCTTTACATATGTCAGGGGCCAAGGGGAGTGATTTGACACAGATATAGCCTTTGCTGTTGATTTGACAACGGTTTAAATGTACATAACACTAAGGCCTTGTAGACATGGGCTTCAAAGTAAAGAAGAGCAGTGGGCACAACAGCAAGTCAACAAACTTTGAGAAACTTTCTCAAAGTGAGTTAAATGTTAAAAATATAATCAAGTACCTTAACCCTTTAGTGATGGGAGACATACACTGTACGTCCTTGTCACTAAGTGCTCAAATGAGTGCAACGATTGTGAGCAGCTATTCAGGGCTGCTGATTGCTGGTGTTCTATCATTCCATCGGACCCGTGCCTTAGTTTCAGCCTGAAAATTATGCCCCGGAATGTGCGTTGTGCCATAATTTCAATGGCATCCCAAATGCACCTCCTGGCTGCAGTGTGGTCACCTGCACTGAAATGTGCGGTACTGCAATGCCATGCGTTCCAGTGTGGTGCATGTGCACAAAATGTGCATACTTTTTTATTCTGAAGTAAACTTTGTTTCTAACACCATTTATGTATTTTATTTTAAATAAAACATTTTTTTTTTTATCCGATTAATCAAAAATCGGCCAACTAATCGATTATGAAAATAATCGTTAGTTGCAGCCCTATGAGAGTGCCTACAGCTTCATAACTGTATAGCTGCAGTTTGAAATCTAAGGCACTGCTGCCTCTGACTTGTAGTTTTGGGAGCTTTGGAGTGAGATTTGGGGGTTACATAGTTACATAGTATTTGAGGTTGAATAAAGACATATGTCCATCAAGTCCAACCTAGTGTGTGTATGTATAGGTCCCTGAGTCATCTCGTTATTAGGAGTACTTGTACCCCTGTATATTACCGTTTCTCAGGAAATCGTCCAAAAGCTTCTTGAACGATTCCACAATATTGGCTGAAATCACTGCCGGTGGCAACGAGTTCCAGACCCTAACCGCTCGAACTGAGAAGAACCCCCTTCGCCCCTTGTGTTTGAATTTTTTTTCTACCAGTTTCAGGTGGTGGCCTCTAGTCTTTGTTACGGAATTAATCTTAAAGAGTTTGTTGCTAATGTCGCTATGACTACAGAACATCTTGTACATGAAAATCATGTCCCCCCTTACTTCCAGCGTGAACATATTTAAATTTAGTAGCAGTGTCTCATAGCTCTGGTCCTCCTCATCCCTTTGATGAGTTTGTTCGCCCTTCGCTGGACTTTCTCCAGTTCAAGGACATCCTTTCTATGTACCGGTGCCCAAAACTGCACCGCATACTCCAGGTGAGGCCGAACCAGTGATGTGTAAAGTGGCAAAATTATAGACCTATCCCTGCAAAACATTCCCTTCTTGATGCAGGACAGGACTCTACTAGCTTTGCTTACCGCAACCTGGCATTGTAATCTATTATTGAGTTTATGGTCTACAATGACCCCCAAATCTTTCTCCATTTCAGACTTCCCTAGCGGCATACCCATAATTGTATAACCCATTTGCTTGTTTTTTATCCCAAAGTGCATAACTTTGCATTTATCGACATTGAACCTCATCTGCTACATACTTGCCCACCCCCCTATTTTGTCCAGGTCCTCCAGTAATGTTATACTCTCTTGGTTTGTTTCTATT